GGGGTCCCAGGTCCGGGATTCGGGGTCAGGAATCGGCGTGAGGGTCGAGATTCAGGACGGGGTCTGGGGTCCTGGTGTGGAGTCTGGGGGGGTCCGAGGTCCGGGATCCCGGGTCTGGGGTGGAAGTGCTCCAGGCCCGGGTCGGGGTCCGCACAGCAGGGCCACAGGCCGGTGGCACTTGCTGACCCCCTTGCCCTTCAGGCTGTGTCTGGGCGTTCCTGGGGTCGCGTACCCGGGGTGAGCCATGTGAACCCCAGGGAGGGTAGCGGACCCTCTGGGCGGCCCTCTCGGGACCCCTGCGCCCAAGTATGCTCCCCGCTGCAGTGTGGACGGTGGTTCCGGGGATGGCTTTCCAGTGATGGATGTGGCCGCTACTTTGAGAAATCCCTTGCTTGGGAGTTTTGAACAGGGTCTGGTAGTAGCAGCCTCTTGTTCTGGGGTTTATTTGAACTTGCAGAGATCAAAATCCTTTCTGGATTATTGAAAATAATTTAGCCACTGCCTTTGTGAGTTTGGGCCCCTGGACCACAGACCAGGCAGCGTAGGCAGCCGACCTTTATTTCTCAGTTCTGGGAGCTGAGAGTCCACTTCTGTGATGGGAAGGCCACTTCTCCCTGTGTTTTCAGTGTCAGAGGGGCAAGGGAGCTCCCTAGGGTCTCTTCTGTCAGAGCACCAATCCCATTAAGAGGGCTCTAGCCCTTGGAGCCTAATCACCTCTGAACAGGGTCACATTGGGGGATAGGTTTTGACAGGGGAACTGGGGAGGGGGCACCAGCTTCAGCCCACTGTAGCCACCCACTCCAGAAAATTCTGTTTGTACATGAACCTTTTCCCCAGGGCCCTGTAGAAAACAGGTGAGCCTCACTGCTGAAGCCGTACTTGCTCCTGGTTGCTGGTGTCACTTCTGTGCCCAGTTGGGGTGGGTCACCCCAGTGTTAGCCGAAAGGCCCCGGCTGGCTCCAGGAGACAGTGAGCAGTTGGTGGTGCGTTGTTTCAGATACGGCAGGAAGACCCCAGGACCTAAGTCCTCACGTCACACACCTACCATGCTTTTATTCTTTGTCTAGATTCTTGGAGTTGTTTTCATTTTCTTCCCAGAGGTGAATCCCACCTTCCGTGACAGGGGATGATCTCTTTCTGAATCACCGCTGTTTCTCAAGACCCCCGCTTCAGCGCTCTGTTCGGCAGAGGTCAGCCGCAGGTCCTGCCGCACAGCCCTCTTACAGGGATCTGTCCACATTTGTGCTTGGGGTTAGCTCGGGCAGCCCTCATGCAGTCGTGCTGCCCCTCCTCACATTCTCCTGCAGGGCTTCTCTGTTTTCTGGTTTTGTTTTCCCATTTATGTGGCATTTGCCCTTTTCCTGTTTGTATTTCCACCTTCGCTGGCATTTGTTATAATTCAGAATGGGTGTTAATTACAGGGGAGGCAAATACTTTCCAATGATTAAAATGGGCCCACTTAGTGACACTTTCTGAGCATTGTCCTTGCGCTGCTATGTCTTCAGGTTCTTTTTGTTTTGTCATCAAAGTCAATTTTCTTTCTTTTTTTTATTAAGATTTAATTTTTTTTTAAACATTTATTTATTTGACAGAGACAGAGATAGTGAGAGCAGGAACACAAGCAGGGGGAGTGGGAGACGGAGAAGCAGGCCCCGACGTGGGGCTCGATCCCAGGACCCTGGGATCATGACCTGAACCGAAGGCAGACGCTTAACGACTGAGCCACCCAGGCGCCTATTAAGATTTAATTTTTAAGTCATCTCTACACCCATCGTGGGGCTGGAACTCACAACCTCAAGATCAAGAGCTACCCGTTCTACCGACTGAGCTGGCCAGGTGCCCCAAAGTCCATTTTCTTTTTGCTAATCTTTCTCCCCTAAGTTCCTTCTGGTCCTTTGGCAGATAGTTCTGAACATGTAGTTTTCTAGCTTTCTGTGGAAAATACTGTGTGAGTCATGCAGACGTATTGGCTGTAGCGTAAACATTGGCTGGTTGTATGAAAACAGGACTTTCTTTTATGCTTTACCTTGTAGGAAGTGAAAATACCTTCTGCGCTTCTAGGAGAACACTACCTGATCGCTCTTCCTTTTCCTTCTCACCCCACTTGAATTGACCTGCTCTAAAGAAGATTATTCTTATCTGTCTTGCGGTTGGTTCCTCTCCCCCTCCTCCCTTAAGCTCCAGATCTTTTTTGTAGCACTGTGCCCCACCTGCTGCCCACTTCTCCCTCGCTCTCCTCGCACGGAGCAGCAGACATTTCTGTGAGGTTCCTCCCCACCTCTCCCGCCATGATTACTTATGATGATCTTATTCTATTCCTCGCTTTCCTTTTCACAACCAGTGCTCTCGTGCAAAGTAGCCGGAAGGCAGTTGTTTTCTTTCATCTCCTAAAGAGAATGTTCAGAACATGTCCAAGGCGCAGTTCTTATCTTCCTCCTCAGTGATGTCAGCTCTCCAAGGTAGTATAATAATGATGATGTTTATAAAGTGTTCAGAATGGGCTACATAAGTGTTAGCTGCTAGCTTGGCTACTCATGGCAGCAAGCCTGTGAGCTTGGTACTGTTATTAACCCCATTTTTACAGGTGAGGGAGCAGGCACAGAGAACTTAAGCACCTTGCCCTAGGTCATAGAGTCAGTCCAGAGAATAAGTAGAGGAAGGTCCCTGGCAGCACTTCATAGTAGACCCACGCTGGAAGCCCAGCTGTCTGTCAGTACACTGGGCGAGCCCATTCTGGAACACTCAGGGGAGCTCTGTGCAGCAGTGAGAATAAACTCTGACTGTTGATGCACCGGCCTAACAAAGGCAGTGGGACAAAGAAGCCAGACTGTTGGCCTCTGCATGTACAAGGACAAAGCAGACGTGACACATCTGTGGGGAGGGGGATGTGAATGGCTGGAAGCAGAGGAGCCTTCGGGCAACAGTGTCCTGTCTGAGTCCGGGGGGCAGTCATGCAATGTGCAGACTTTGTGAAAATTGGAGTCAGACGCTCCCACTTGTGCCTTTTTCTGCTCATACTTCTGTAGCATTTTGAGTGAAAAAAAAAAAAAAGGCATTACCTTAGAGGGAGTAGCTGAGTCTGGGAAGTTAGGGAAGATTTTTCTGAGAAGTCAGAACATACTAAGTTGAAATCTGAAGCATGATGAGGAAGGGTCTGACTTGGCAAAAGGTGGGGGTGGTGCTCCAAGCAGAGGCACCCCTACACATGGGGACTTCGATCTGTGAGGAACTAGAAGAAGGTTGTAGCCCAGGAGCACAGATGCTGGTGTGTGCGCACATGTGCAGGCAGCGTAGCACCGGAGCCCAGGGCAGGGACCCCTGGTGAGCGCACAAAGTGGGCAGGGCCAGACCCTGTGGGGCTGTCACACAGGTTGCTAGCTTGGGGCGTGTTCCAGGCTGGGATCTGCCCTTGGTAAGGGTCCCTGCCGTGGTGAGCAAGGAGATGAGGTGAACGGCAGTCGCTGCAGTCTGGGGGAGCAAGGACTTCGGGGGGAGGTTGGAAATGGTGGTTAAGATGGGATGGTTTCCCGTACAAGGTCAGAGGTGCCCTCGAGCCTGGTGAGACCCCAGGTGCCTGGCATGTGGAGGTGGAGGGCCGGGGGGGACAGGACTGTGGCTGAGGTGCTGTCTGGGGGGGTCCATGGACGCAGTCCAGCTCTGCACCAGATGTTTGGTGGAATATTAGAGGCCTTCCAGTTCCCTCTCTGGAGAGACTCAACGAGAGTGTAGAAGGGGGTCCAGACCAAAAGTGCTATCCCTCTTACCCCTGGGCAGCTTTAATGCATAATCCACTCTGCCCGAAAGCAAGACAATGCCCTGCGTCTGTTGAGTCTGCAGTCAGGATAGCCTTGGCTGAAAATTGTGATGCTTGAGAAAACATGTCTACGTAGACTCTTTCCAGAAGTGATCTTGCTCTCCCTTCTCTCCCCACTCCTCTGTTATTTTTCGGAAAGGCCAAAAGAATGTTTGAAGGTGAGATGGCAAGTTTAACTGCAATCCTGAGAACAGACACCGTGAAAGTGCCCAAGCCCATCAAGGTCCTTGACGCCCCGGGAGGCGGCAGCATGCTCGTGATGGAGCACTTGGACATGCGGTATCTGAGCAGGTCTGTCTGGGCACCTTCTCTGCCTTCTCCTTTGCTTGGCTTTGTTTCTCTTTTTTTTAAAGCATTTTTTGAGTCTTCAGACTTTTTTTTTTTTTAAGATTTTATTTACTTATTTGAGCGAGAGAGAAAGAGACGGCACGGGGGGGGGGCGGGGATGGGGCGGGGCAGAGGCAGAGGGAGAAGCAGAGTCCCCCCTGAGCAGGGAGCCTGGTGCGGGGCCCTGAGATCATGACCTGAGCCGAAGGCAGTCCCTTCACCAGCTGAGCCCCTAGGCACCCCATGGCTTTATTTTTCTTCTGAGTGGTTTCATCATACCTGAAAGCTTGCGTCTGGGGTGTAATTTTGAGGAACCTGTGACCCCACACATCATGGGTGCTGCAGAATGAGTGATATACTCCACACGCCGAGGGCAGACGGGAAAGGAATCTCCCAAGGTGAGATGCTGACAAGGAACCCAGCTGCCAGGGAAAGGCTGGGAAGGAGCATCAGACAACCAGGGCCCTTCATCTCCCCTTTGCTTCACCGAAGCCGACTGTATATCCCCTTGACCTGCTTTCCGTGGCCTGAGACTGTGCAGGAGGCTGTGACCCCGAGATTATGTGCCATACACTTGGCTGACACTCTTTATTTCACAGCCATGCTGCCAAGCTTGGAACCCAGCTCGCAGACCTACACCTAGACAACAAGAGGCTTGGGGAGACACTCCAGAAGGAGGCCGGCACTGTGGGTATGCGGCTGTGTGGGCGCGAGGGCCCCTTGAAGACGCTTGGCTGGCGTGGGCACGTGGGTGGGGTCTGTGTTGTTGATTCCCAAGGAGAGCAGTGTCAACCCCACGGCTAGGGGTACAGTGGACACAGTGAATGCAGTTCTGTACCATAGCACAGTGCGTATGGAAGAAGTAGTAGTTCTGGACTCGAAACCCCGTCCTGTTACGGTTCCTTTAACCCCTCCTTCCCCAGAAGAAAGCCCATCAGAGTTACTCTGGCTTTCTCTATGGTGCCTTTTCTGCTGAGAACAGCCACACGTGAGGCACAGCATGGTGGCCCTCACGTCCAACCTTCGTAGAGCTTAGTGTGGTGTTGGCATTGAGAGTACCTTCTGGTATTTTCATCCTTTCACGTTTGATAATCCGCGTGTAGCCCTGGGGTCACTGTGCGAGCAGGGTAGCTGATGCACCAGGAGCAGGCGACCGAGCATCTGCTGCGCCAGACAGATCCTGTCAGGCTCCGTCCCACCCCTTCCAAGCCCACGTAGTTCAGGCCTTCGGGATTTGCTGAGTTTGGGGGAGCCGCAGGGAATGCAAAGGAGGCCATTTCAAATCAGTTTGTTCTTCACAAATGGCCAGGGCTCAGCTGGCCACCGAGAGCCATCCTTTCCTGATGTGTCACGGGGTGAGCTGTTTTCCTCGTTTTTTGCACGCAGTGTGGTCGCTCCTCTGAGCATCCTCTGGTGCCTCTCCTGGGCAGTGTGGGTGTCTTGCATCGTTGTGTCTAGTGGAACAGGCTCTGGTCCTGGGTCCTGAGGGTCTATGGAGAGGGCCCTTGTTTATCTCTGGATGAGGACATGAGGTAAAGGGCACCCCAAAGACAGGCCTCGAAGCTGCCCTGAGCTCCAAGAGCAGCCTGAGGGAGTGTGGGACCAGTTGTCTTTCTTGTCTTCCTTTTGCTTACAAGGGAAAGGAGGCGGGCAGGTGGAACGGCCCTTTGTGGACCAGTTTGGGTTTGACGTGGTGACGTGCTGTGGATACCTCCCCCAGGTGAGTGACACCAGCACTTTGCCTTCCGCGTTCCAGTCAGGTCGGCTGCTCAGGGAAGGAACCACTTCTCCCTTATTTATGAAATTTAGTAAAAGTCTTGGCTCCCTTTTTCTCTTTGCTAATTTTTAAGAGGCCGACGTGAGGTTTACCCACCTCACATGCTAGATAAGCTCAGAGAAACAGGACCAATGAGTCAGGATGCTGGATTTCAAGGTGTGTAAAAATTAGAATTAAGAAAAATTTATTTCCTACTAAATCCTCAAAGATAGCATGATGCAAGTGGATTGTACCTTTCAGTTTTATGATTTTGTGGTTGGCTCCCTGGGAATTTGGGCCCCGGGGCTCTACTTGATGCCCAGCAAATGCTGAGTGGGGAGGGTGGTGGCTACGCTCTTGGAGGATGCAGGTGGCTTCTCAGAAGAGGCATGCTGAGTGAGCTGGGAAACTTTTAGGGATTCCTAGTGGGCACAGTAGACACTATTCAGGTTCTGGAATGTGGGGAGAGGTTGTCCAGGAACCTGCTCGGGGTGGCGAGTGGCTGAAGGCTGGGGTTCCCCGGTCCCACCTGCTCCATGCAGCTCTGGGGGTGTTTCAGCTGGCTCTGCTCCTTCCTCGCCTGCCTGTAGCTCACCCCATGTGTGTACAGACACCTGCGCATGTGTGTGCACGCCTCTGGGAGGGATCCTCTGTGATCAGGCGGTATTTGTTGCCCCTGTACTCCTGTGTGTGTGTGTGTGTGTGTGTGTGTGTGTGTGTGTGTTGCTTCCCTCCTGGTGGTCAGCATGTAGACGGTCTCCTTGAAGCGGGCTTCACATGACTCTTCATGTTATCACTCTGGGGAGGGCAGTGCTGGCTGCTTGGGTGGGGGCTGCAGAGGGTTCCTTGGGGCCAGGTGGATGGTCAGAAATGAGCCATGGGCTGGGGAAGGCCAGCCAGCTCTGCGCTCTGTGCTCCCATGTGAGTACAGGTGGAAAGAATGTGTCCTAGAGCTCTTCAGAGTGGTCTCTGTTGCTCTGCACTGGGAGGGTCCCCTGCTTCTGGGACAGGGTCTGAGGTCCCAGCCTGTCCACGAGGCACCGTCTGCCTGGTCAGCCGCCACGCCTTCCACAACCTACCCTTGGGGTCGTGCCCTCTTCCGCTTTGGGCTTTTTCCTTTGGCTCTGGCTTTTTCCTCTGTCCACGCAGGTGAATGACTGGCAGGAGGACTGGGTCACCTTCTATGCACGGCAGCGCATTCAGCCCCAGATGGACATGGTGGAGAAGGGGTCTGGGGACAGGGAGGCCCGGGAGCTCTGGTCTGCTCTGCAGGTGAGAGGAACCTCGCCGGGCCCTGCAGGCCCGACAGGGGAGGCCCTGGGGCAGGTGCAGCCACCTGTGGTCCGGGTCTGGACAGGAGGTGGGCTGGGCCAGCCAGGGGGTGGCTGTCGGTGTGCCTCCACCCCGCCTGAGCTGTGTGTGTCCGTGCGCGTCTGAGCGCCACACTCAGAAAAGCATCTGCATCCCTCCCACACATGTTGGTTACTTTGCTGAGAATGCGTTTCTTCCCTGCAGCTGAAGATCCCTGACCTGTTTCGTGACCTGGACATTGTCCCAGCCCTGCTCCATGGAGACCTCTGGGGAGGAAATGTAGCAGAGGACTCCTCTGGGCCCATCATTTTTGATCCAGCTTCTTTCTATGGCCACTCGGAATACGAGCTGGCGATAGCCGGCATGTTTGGGGGCTTCAGCCGCTCCTTCTACTCTGCCTACCACAGCACGATCCCCAAGGCCCCAGGGTTTGAGGCACGCCTGCAGCTCTATCAGCTCTTCCACTATTTGAACCACTGGAATCATTTTGGATCAGGGTATAGAGGGTCCTCCCTGAATATCATGAGGAATCTCATCAAATGAGCTTCCCTGCTCTGGGGGGTGCTCAGGCTCAGGTGCACCAGGTCCTAGCCAGACACCTGTGGCCAGTGCCTCCCATCCCCCACAGTCCTGTCCATCAGGGCTTCTTCCCCGAGTTGTGCTAACTTTGTCCTCCTGAGGTTGTACATTTCCTTAGACTTCATAGCTGGATAAAACCAGCTCTGTGTGGGTGGGCCCCATCGTGTGGGCCCCGTTGAAACCACTGCTGCCCAGAGGCTGAGCAGGGAAGCGGCTGTTATGCCAGGTGCTGCTGAGGACACATTCCCCTGGTGGCTCCTCCCGTGTCATCTCCAGGAGCAACTCTGTTGTTGGGGAAGATGCTTCTCGATGGGTTAGATGTGGGTGTAGACATGAAACCAGTACTGAGGACAGCTTCTAATGCCCAGTTTCAACTGAGCACATTCCCTTTCTTTCTGTGCCTGCCTGTGCGTCCTGCCACAGGCCGACCAGTCTGGAAGCTGATTCTGGGAGTGACCAAACTGCTAGTCTTGGGTAAATTTAGGAGCCACCGCATCCCTCCTGTTGGCACCCCATCTTGTCTGCCGTTTTCCAAGCTTGTGAGTTATTCCTTTTTATAAAAAAGTGCTAAACCAGTGGCTTTCCCTTCCTCGTCTTAACAGTGATGGGGAATATTCTTGAATGGCATTGATGGCTGAGAAAGTCTTTTGCATAAACATTTGAATAAACTTTCATTGATTTCAATGATGTACAAGACTGTATATTTATTTCCTTCATTTGCATCGTAATTCAATGTTTATCTTAGGTGTTTGCCAAGAAACCTTTGTAGGGGCGCCTGGGTGGCTCAGTCGTTAAGCGTCTGCCTTCGGCTCAGGTCATGATCTCAGGATCCTGGGATCGAGCCTTACATCGGGCTCCCTGCTCAGCGGGGAGCCTGCTTCTCCCTCTCCCACTCCCCCTGCTTGTGTTCCCTCTCTCGCTGTGTCTCTCTCTGTCAAATAAATAAATAAAATCTTTAAAAAAAAAAAGGAAAAGAAACCTTTGTAACGTATTGTGACAATAAACAGGTACAACTGTTGTTTCTTTTTTTTTTAAAGATTTTATTTATTTGAGAGAGAGAGAATGAGAGACAGAGAGCACAAGAGGGAAGAGGGTCAGAGGGAGAAGCAGACTCCCCGCTGAGCGGGGAGCCCGATGTGGGACTCGATCCCGGGACTCCAGGATCATGACCTGAGCCGAAGGCAGTTGCCTAACCAACTGAGCCACCCAGGCGCCCACAACTGTTGTTTCTTAAAAGCAGTTTTCTTTCTTGACTGTACAATAAGAGAATAGCCCAGAGTTTCCAAAGAAGGACAGGTGTAGCCTGAGGACTGCTACTGTGGGCCGCTCTGGGAGGCCTGGTAAACAGTAGACAGTAGAGAGAGGTCCTAAAAGCCTCCAGAGAGAGAACAGTTTCCACACAAAGAGGAAGAATCAAAGTGGCCTCAAACTTCTCAATACCAAATGAGCTGGAAAGTACTGGAGCGGGACCCTCTTGTTCATCAAAGAACAGGACCTCATTTCCAACCTGGAATTCTATACCCCGCCAAACTGTCAATTGAGACTAAAGACATGTGCAGATGTTCAAGAGCTCAAATCTGCGTGTCAGGAATACCTCCTCAAGATGCAATAGGTAGGTGGGCTTCACCAGACTGAGAGAAAAAAGTCTAGGAAGAGGAAGACAGGGAGGGGCAGATGCCTTTTCCACAGATGGGCACACCTTCTCTCCCATCCCAGCTGCTGTTCTGCAATGACCTTGTGCATGCATGTGCAGAGGTGTGTGCATGCATGTGTGTGTGTGCACAGGTGTGTGCATGCATGTGTGCATGCCTGCGTGCACATGGGCGTGTGTATTTTTTTTAAGATTTTATTTATTTATTTAACAGAGACAGAGAGAGAAAGCCCAAGCAGGGGGAGTGGCAGAGGGAGAGGGAGAAGCAGCTCCCCACTGAGCAGGGAGCCCGACAGGGGGGCTCTATCCTAGGACCCGGCGATCATGACCTGAGCTGAAGGCACACGCTTCACCCACTGAGCCACCCAGGTGCCCTGGGCATGTGTGTTTTGAAGTTCCCTTTGAGGGCAGCAGGTCTCTCATCAGGGGTCCCATTCTGGGCGGGGTCAGCCGATTGGTATCAGAACCCCCAGAGCAGCCTCTATCTCTGATGGCCACCAAGTGCCCTGAGGAACAAGCCCAACACCAGCAATGGGTTTCACTGGGCAGTGTCTGGGGCCAGGCGGGATGTGGTCAAGACCCCCAGCCTTGTCTGGACAGCGTGAGATCTAGCTAGGCCCGTGACCTGGGTCCCGGGGACAGCGGGCCCTATCCTAAACTCTGTCCGGAGTCCCGCTGGGGGCCTGCGCCGACGTCCAGCAAGGGTTCGTGGAACCTCTGGCAGGGCGCCCCATGGGTGGGCCCCACCGAGGATTGTGGGGGCACCCTGTGCGCACACAGGCGGAGGGCACCGCCCCCACTCCTGTCCGCCTGTGGAAACCCTCCGCCCGCCCTCGCCCTCCCGCGGGTCCGTCCCTCCACGGCGCGCGCGGGCGGGGAGCGCGGGGACCTGACGCCAGGCGCGTCCGGGAGGACGGCCCAGAGCCCGCAGGCTGCGCAGACCCGGCGCCTCCCCCGCGGACAGAGGCCTCGGCAGCAGCGGGCTCCGCCCCGGCCGCCGTCTGCGCGGTCCCTGTCCTTCCCCGGCCCCCGCGCCCCCGCGCCCCCCGCCCTGATGGAGCAGCTGCTGCGAGCGGAGCTGCGCACCGCGACCCTGCGGGCTTTCGGGAGCCCCGGGGACGGCTGCATCAGCGAGGGGCGCGCCTACGACACGGACGCAGGCCCGGTGTTCGTCAAGGTCAACCGCCGGACGCAGGTGCGGCCCCCAGCGACGCCCCGCGGCCTGAGGCGGAGGCTGGAGAGCGGAAGGGGTGGGGGTGGAGGGGGCGCAGGTGGGGCCGGGCGTCCCTGCCGGGAGTCGGCGGAGGTCTCGCGGAGCTGGCTCCTGCGGGCCAGCAGGACTCAAGCATTTTCTAAGGGATCGGGGCTTTCGTCCGCTGCAGGATTAATAATCCTGTGTTTGTTTTAATTTCTGTACCCATCAAGCATGGGGGAGGCGAGGCTCGGAGTCCTGGGCTGGGTCTGCTTCTCCCCAGGGCCCCGCTCTGGGCTCCCTCTTCCCCAGCCCTGCGCGCGGTTCCATCTCACTAGGTGGGAAGAGGCAGGATCTCGCAAGGGCCCGGCTCATGCCCCTCTACTCACAGGCCTGTGCTGGTGTTTGGAGCTGGTTAATGCCCGCTTAAAATTGCTGTTAAATATACTGTGTATGGGAAATATTAAGCCTTCACAAATGGAGAAAGTTAGCCTTAGTAAGTGCACCCTAGGTGCTGAGGATGACCTGATAGAGGACTCCGCAGAGGCCCCCGTGCCCTGTGGGCCAGGGCCCTGTGCAGGAGTTGGGGGGGCTGCTGGCTATGGGCTGAAGGACTCCCAGAGAGGCTCCTCCCTGTCCCCTTGCAGCACTACCCACCTGGGGTGGATGAGGGCTTGGGGCTGGTCCAGGGAATTGTCCCGGAGCTTCATTTCAGAACCCAAAGCCCTCCAAATAAGCCCCACCTCCTGGGAAGCAGTTTCGGGTTCAGGGTTCATGCAGGCTCTGGAACCCTCCTGGCTGAATGCTCCCCCAGGCTGGATCCCACCATTTGCCCTGGGTGCTGGCACACAGTAGGTGGGCCGATGATGGGTGAGGCCCTCCAGACACAAGCAATCCTAAGCTCAGGCCTTCTCTGCCCCTGTATGTTTGGGGGCTTGCTTGCCCTGGGAGCGCGGCTGGGGATCATGGGGGGATTGCTGGATGTTCCCTGACTGCCACTGGCCACCCCTTGCTTCACAATCCCGGGTGTGGGCTGGCAGTTTGGGGGACGACTTGCCCCATTTTCCCCTTGCGTACTTTGAATTAAAGGATGGGATTCTTTGCCTGTGTGGAAGTAGATGCTTTAGCCTCATGAGGAATAATTCTATAGCCAGAGGTGTTGACAAGCCATATTAATAAGCACCCTTTTAACGAAGTAATAGTGTACCTGGGGTGAGAGTTCACCTAGTTTAAAATTGGGGTATTTGTGGGAAATGTTTTAGAAATAGGGCGGCTCTTGGGTCCCAGTGGAGGCTGTTTGTCTTCTTCTGGGTGGGGTATGAGGATTCCTCCCAGCCCCCAGGCCCTGCTGGGTGCTTATCTCTGGGGACAGGCCCTGGACCCGAGCCAGGCCCTGCTGACCTCCCTGCCCTGCCTTCCCTTGCCCCAAATGTGTGTCCCAGTCACTTTGGCATGCGGCCCCATGCTGCCCTATGCTTCTCCTCAAGTCTGCTGTGGTTGCTTGAGGTAGTGAGGTGGGCAGGTAACCTGAAAGGGGACCCAGGTCCAACTCCAAACCCTCCACTAATCCACACTCTGAGGCACCCCATTGTACTTCCTGGCACGCCTGGCACTTCCATAGCCACCCCCCCATGGCACCACCCAAAACCTCCTGAGGTTCTCCTCACGACCTCCATGGCACCCCATGGTACCTGTGGCCCTCTGGCCCCCTGCAGCATCCTGCGGTACCCCACAGTACCCCCAGCACCCGCAGCACCGCCCCTGCCCCTGTGCTTCCTCACCTCTCAGAGCAAGCACCTGGGGCAGGGGCATCAGCATCCTGCCCACCCCAAGTCCCAGGCACAGTCTCAGACTTGCAGCCCCTTCCTATCTGAAAGGGGCCACTTTGCACCCCAGTCTCTGAGGAGCTGATGTCTTGCTCTCCAGCTAGTTTTCAGTAACTGAAGGTCCTGAGTGCTTGTGATCCCATGTGGTGGCTCCTGTCCAGGGCAGTAGAGGCCCCTGTTGGAGCTGGAGATCATGGTCTTATTCTGGATGCAGGCCCGGCAGATGTTTGAGGGAGAGATGGCGAGCCTGGAAGCCCTCCAGACCACAGGCCTGGTGCGAGTACCTCGGCCCATCAAGGTGATTGACCTGCCTGGAGGTGGGGCTGCCT